AAATATTCCTAGATAACTGCCTCATTAAGAGAACTATTAAAAAAAATTGAGTTTAAGTTGTTTAACGTACATGAACAATCTCTTAATCTCCTTAAATTATATATATGCAGTGTCGAGGTTTTGAATTATTATTCAACAAAGAAGCAAATCACTGTATTAGTCGATGCAAGCTCACATGGCCTCGGAGCGCGTTACTTTCAAGAGAGGCGGCCGGTCGCATACGCACCGCGTACCCTCACTCCTGCAGAGATGCGTTGCCTACTAATGCAAAATCAGCATATACTAGTTATTAGTTTAACACTTGGTCGATAAAAGAATCAGATTGTAAATAGCAGCACTTCTCAATGCCACTCTTTCATTAATAATACCGTCGCGTCTCGCATGTTTGTAAATAGCAAAAAATGTGAAACAGGGAACACCAACTTAAAAATAGAATCAAACGCGATTCACCTAGAAAAGTTTTTAGGTAACTCATGTAAAAAATACAGTCGAATATAGTACCTCCTTTTTTTTGAAGTCGTTTAAAATCGTAAGTAGGTAAATTATCTGAGTTTCGAAGACATTCACGTTGTTATAATCTGAATTTTCCTCGATGTTGAATATTAACCTTCCTCACATTTGAACAATATTTTTTTTATTTTAGTACGTGGTAGAGCCATGCTGCAGCTATATTAATAGTATAGCTGTAGCACGAATGGGTCGGCTCGACCGGGGAAGGACCACGCTCTCACAGAATACCAGCGTTAAATAGCAGCTAAATGATGGTGTGTTTCATATGGTGAGTGTAAAGAACCGGAGACCACCTTTACTGGAAAAGAGGTATTCTATCTTAGTCCTCACGGCTGACAACGCAGCTGCATTTTAATCCGTAAACGAAGATAGATGTAGATGTCTATAGGCCACAACAACCACTTACCATTAGGTGGACTGTGTGCTCGTTTGTCACCCTTATTCTACTTATAAAAAAATTATCAGCAAATTGACGGCTCCATGGCGCAGTGGTTTTGCAATGAGTTGCAACGCTGGGGCCGCGGTTTTGAATCTCGGACGGTACAAGTATTTGTATGGCCTACAGATAATTGTTCCTGATTTGGAAGTTTGTCCTTGTGCGATTTATTTTTGTAAACGGCCTCCTCAATACGAAGAAGAAGACATAGAGCTTAGCAGTGAATTATAGCCATAGCAGCAATCACAATAGATCTTTTAGGTGGCAGTGATACTGGTCTCTCTCTCTAGACGTGCATAGCTGCTCGCACACAAAAAATAAAACTTTTTACCACGAAATGATCCTTATTCTTACAGGAAAATACGTTTTTGAATCCAAATGAAAAATAAATTTGATTTAATGTAGTCGAAACCGCGGGGCAAATATCTAGTAAAATATAAAAATTTTGTAAATATATTGGTGGGCAGGGCAGGCACTGGTAGAGCAGGCTGGAGGGGGGGGGGTAGCATATTCATAGTTAGCCTAGGGTTGTCAGAACTCAAAATCAGGCACGGAACATCAATACAGCTGACATTACAAGCTCCATAAAACTTATTAATTTAAACCGTTGTAAGGTGAAGCCGAGCTATTCGCTTCAATTATCTTCGTTTATCATCAGCCCGTAATAGCCTACTACTGTGCATATCCCTCTTCAGCCATTGGAAGGATTTGCCCTAATCGTCACACATAGCCAATGGACGGATGGGAGGACACTATTTCCCTTTCCTGAGTTGGGTATTTAAAATTTATTAGGTTTTAATTGGATATCTTACCGCAATCTATAGCAAAAAATAAACAACATTTCTTGCATTTCCCATAGTCGTCTATTCCGTCACCCACAGTATGAAATAGAATATTGCGATTCTCTTAACACCGCAACCAAACGATCCGCAACAAGAAATAATAAAAATATTTTATTGACTGCCTACCAAAGCGCGATGGATCCATAAAGAGATAAATTGTCTTTCGTCAAGAATATTTCTTATCGGATCTATAGGGATTATCTCCGATCATATCAATAAGCGCATACGATGAAAAATATAATCGAAATAGAATTCAATTTTATACACCAATCGTTTCTCTTTATTTATACGATATTATTTGACAAATCAAAACTTATATTTAATAACTTGTTGTTATCCAATAAATGTAACGACGATTCCACGAATATTTTCCATTAATCTAAGTGAAAAGGTAAGAAATAAAGTTATAGAGCGATTAGTCCCCCACGCTGCTCTAGTGCATGTTAGCGGGCTTTACGTGTCTTCGAAATATTTTTATTCCTCAAACATGCAGGTTTCCTCAGACATTCTGCATTGATTTTGAAATCCGGATTGCTAGCGTTTGGTAAAATTTACAACGAGCGCTTTGACTCTGTGTGACGGCCTTCAAAGCAGTCATTAGAAAATTATTTTGAACATGCTAATATATTGCCAATTTTATTCCTTGTATATTACTCTTTAATTCCGTCCTCCATGGTGGCATTACACCAGAGGCGTGGAGCAGAAGTGCGGTGGTCTTGTTCTTCAAGAAAGGCGACAACGCTCTCTTGAAGAACTACAGACCGATATCCCTTCTGAGCCGCGTCTACGTGCTGTTTTCGAGAGTCATTACGAATCGTCTCGCGCGCAGACTTGACGACTTCCAGCCTCCCGAACAAGCCGGTTTCCGAAAAGGCTTTAGCACCATAGACCACATACATACCCTTCGGCAAATTGTACAGAAGTCCGAGGAGTACAATTTGCCACTATGTCTGGCGTATGTGGACTATGAGAAAGCCTTTGATTCCGTCGAAATTTGGGCGGTGATGCAGTCCCTTCAGCGATGCCAAGTTGACTGTCGGTATGTCGAAGTGTTGAAGTGCTTGTACAGTAGGGCTACGATGGCTATCCGAGTACAGAACCAGAGTACGAAACCTATCCAATTGCAGAGAGGTGTAAGACAGGGTGACGTCATATCCCCGAAACTCTTTACCGCTGTATTGGAAGATGTTTTCAAGCTTCTGGACTGGAAAGGATACGGTATAAACATCAATGGCGAGTACATCACTCACCTTCGATTTGCCGACGATATAGTCCTTATGGCAGAATCGCTGGAGGACCTAAGCACTATGCTCAATGACCTCAATAGTGTTTCCCAACGGATAGGTCTTAAGATGAACATGGACAAAACAAAGATCATGTTTAATGTCCATGTCACACCTATGCCGGTAGTTGTTGGGAACACTAAGCTCGAAGTTGTTGACGAGTATGTTTACCTGGGACAAATAGTCCGACTAGGTAAGTCCAACTTCGACCGAGAGGTCAATCGACGGATTCAACTCGGCTGGGCAGCCTTCGGGAAATTACGACACATCTTCTCGTCAGGTATACCTCAAAACTTGAAAACGAGACTGTACACCCAGTGCGTGTTGCCAGTGATGACATACGGAACTGAGACGTGGTCCTTCACTGCTGGCCGGATGAGGAAGCTCAAGGTCGCTCAGCGAGCTATGAAGAGGGCTATGCTCGGAGTTTCCCTGCGTGATAAACTCAGAAATGAGGATATCCGCAGTAGAACTAGAGTGACAGACATAGCCCAACGGATTAGTAAGCTGAAGTGGCAATGGGCCGGCCATATAGCTCGAAGAACCGACAACCGATGGGGAAGAAAGGTTCTCGAGTGGCAGCCTCGTACCGGCAGGCGAAGTGTAGGGCGTCCCCCCACTAGATGGAGTGACGACCTGGTAAGATATGCAGGAAGTCGATGGATGCAGGTGGCTCAGGACCGTGCTTTGTGGCATTCTTTGGGGGAGGCCTATGTTCAGCAGTGGACTGTGAAGGGCTGTAATGATGATGATGATGATATTACTAAATTGCAGACAGAATTTTTTTTATGGAATAAGGTTGACGAACGAGTATGCAATCCACCTGATCGTAAGTAGATGCAGTGGCCCATCGACATCCACATTTATCCTCCATTAAGAATCATAATGCAGATGCGTTGTCTGTCACTCCTGGGGACTAAGATAGAATGTCTGGTTTCTATGAAATAAGGTCTAAATTTTTTTCACTCACCATACGAAACACAGCAACATTAAGCTGCTATTTGTGTCAACATGGGTACGCGGCAATCAAACACGAGATCGAGCTGAGACTGATTTATTCATATCCACCCGCAACTATTACAATAATCTCTCACATCTCCCTTCTTAATGATAAGAAACAAAATTAAATGGTATTTGACTCTTGCCTATTTTTATCACAAAAATAGTAAGACAATTGATAGGTATTTTCACTATAAGTAGATTAACAATAGATGTATATAATTAATATATAAAAAACTATTACAATAATCTCTCGCATCTCCCTTCTTAATGATAAGAAACAAAATTAAATGGTATTTGACTCTTGCCTATTTTTATCACAAAAATAGTAAGACAATTGATAGGTATTTTCACTATAAGTAGATTAACAATAGATGTATATAATATTATATATGTATTTTAAATTCGCAAATTATTCTGATTAATAATACATTATTCTGAATCTATATCGAGATCATCTATAATAATCAATATCTATATAGAGAGTATATCTCTCTAACTACTCGTCTTCCCCTCTCTTACAAATAAGAAAAATCAATTATGAAATCACTGGCATTACAATAAAATTTGAGTATGAAATGTTCATTTATTTACTTAAATTAAATTATTATTTTTCCGATCAATTCCTTTTTTTTATTTTTTTATTTAAGTAATACTTATATTATTTTTAAAGTAATAAACCGATTACATTTCATTTCTTAAGTAATAGATCTAAATTAATATACTAACTAACACAAATTAAAGTCCAGTCGAGAGTCGAACCTGGAACCAACAAAACAAAAAAAAATCATGCCTGGTTTTGATAGTTTACATATTTTATTTTTTATTTTTTACATACTTTATTTTCATTATTTGAGCGTACGTTACAGTTTATAGTTTTGTTTTCACTGAACACGGTGACTGGGCGACGCAGATGTTCATCACCGCTGTTCAGTGTTCGAAGCCCAATCTATCCGGTGGCCTCACTGTCCTGCCGGAACGTGTGACATAGTAATTATTGTTGTTTACTGTATTAGGTGAGGTTCCAGAAGGTATAGTACAGTTTGAAACCTGATTGTTTTGCGGGCAGTGAGGTTGGATATCATCGTAATTGTTTAAAGTATAGCGCGACGCGACCTTTCGATGTGGAGAATCTTTAATAATATGGCGTCTGTTACGTATAATAATGCTCCCGTTTGCTAATTTTATTTTATATGAACGATATCGCAGCTGACATAATATTGTCCCTGATAACCATTCTCTTTTGTTTACATCTAGTAGTACCCTTACTTTTTGTCCGTTACTTAATTGGTCTAGATTTCTCGTATGTTGGTCGTAGTAGTATTTTTGATTATTTTGCCTCATGACTAATTTATTATGTACATTTTTTTGTAATTTTGGTTTTAAAGTGTGATCTAACTTTGGTAACATACTTCTGAATTTCCTACTTTGCAACAACTCAGCTGGTGATGAAATATTATTTTCTAAAGGTGTGTTAAGATACTCTAGTAACGCCAATCGATAATCAACTCCATCTTCTTTACTTTTAAGTATTATGTTTTTTACAGTTTGTACCATTCGCTCAATTTGTCCGTTAGATTGCGGATATCGTGGCGATGAAGTTATGTGTTTGAAATTCCATTCTAACGAAAACTGTCTAAACAGGCTTGATGAAAACTGCGGGCCACAATCAGACATTACTACGTTCGGTATACCCTGACGGCAAAATATGTTTTTTAGGGTTTCAATTATACTAGGTGAAGTTGTACATTGTAATTTCTCTATTTCAAAAAATTTGCTATAGTAATCGACTAATAATAAGTAATCCACACCTTTTATTTGAAATAGATCTGTACCTACTTTTGCCCATGGTCGGTCGGGAATTTCGTGAGGTTGCATTTCTTCCTTTTGGTTGTGTTTCCTGTACGTCAGGCATATACTACAGTTAGATATTAAATTTTTTAAATCGTTATTTATTCCCGGCCAAAATACTGTCTCCCTTGCCCGCAATTGACATTTTTGCAACCCTACATGACCGACGTGTATCTTGTTTAACAAATCTTTTCTTAAGAGTTTTGGCACTACTATCCTTTGATCCTTCCAGACTAGACCGTACGCGATCGATAAATGCTCTTTATAGCCCCAATATGGCTTTACCAAATCCATGACGTCATGCTTATTTGCAGGCCACCCTCCTATTATGTATTTTCTCAACAACGCGAGTTCATCGTCATTTTCTGAACTCTTTTGCAACTTAATAAACTGCAAGTCCGTAACTTCAGTCGCTGCGCTCATTGCCATATCTCTTGTGATCGCGCAAACTTCATCGTGCTGTGTATAGACAGCGCTGGAAAGCTGCGCGCTCAACGCAGGCTCCGGCTCGTAGGCCCGTGACAACGCGTCAGCAATAAATAGATGTTTACCGGCCTTGTAGACTAATTTGAATGTATAACGTTGTAATTTCAATAACATCCGTTGTAGGCGCGATGGTGAGTCTACTATTGGTTTCTTTATAATGCTAACGAGTGGCTTGTGATCAGTTTCGATAACTACATCTGTTCTTCCGTAAATGTACGCATGAAACCTCTCACAAGCAAAAACGCAAGCGTATAACTCCTTCTCTATCTGAGCATATCGCTGTTCGGCTTTTGACAATGACTTAGACGCATAACAAACTGGCATTCCATTTTGCATTAGACAGGCACCTAAGCCGCTTTTGCTCGCATCTACTGAGATAGTAATAGGGAGGTCTAAGTCGTAATATCTTAACACTGGTGGTTTTGATAAACACTCTTTTATAACTTTTAAACACTCATCATGTCTTTCATCCCAGTGCCATTCCGTTTCTTTTTTTAACAACACTCTCAACAACAATGTCTTATCAGATAAATTTGGTATAAAAGCACCCACGTAAGTAATTAATCCTAGTAATCGCTCTACGTCCTTTTTATTTTCAGGTTTAGGCATGTTCGTTATTGCTGTAATGTGTGAGTTATCCGGATAAAGCCCCTTTTTTGTAATCCTGTGTCCCAAATACCTGATTTCTTCTAACCCAAATTTGCACTTATTTTTATTTAGTTTGAGGTTGACTTTCCTACACCTGTCCAATACTAATTTTAATCTTTCATCATGTTCTTTTTTGCTGCAACCGTATACTAATAAGTCGTCGATGTACATACAAACTCCATCTAAGTCATCAAAATTTTCGTATATTTTTTTATGAAACACCTCTGGTGCCGAGCATATGCCATAGGGTAACCTTAAGAATTTGTAACGTCCAAAGGGAGTGTTGAACGTGCACAACTCACTAGTATCGTCTAAAGCTACCTGCCAGAACCCTGCTACCGCATCCAAAGTACTGAAATACCTAGCACCGGAAAGTTTTGATACAATCTCGTCGAGTGACGGTAACCTAAAATATTCTCTTTTGATCGCGCTATTTAATTCTTTCGGATCAAGACAAACTCGTATGTCTCCGTTAGCTTTTTTAACAATGGTTAAACTACTTACCCAATCCGATGGGCCCTCTACTTTGGCTATAATACCTTGTTTTTCCATCTCTTCCAATTTCTTCTTAACGTTGTCTCTGATCGCGAACGGTAGTTTCCTAGGAGCATGAACAACCGGTACAACATTTTCATGTAATTTTATTCTGTAATTCCCCGGTAAGCACCCTATACCCTGAAAAACGTCGTCATACTGCCCTAAAAATGAGGGAACTCCGCTATCCTCCTGTATCGACATCACGCGCCTCACCATATCCAACTCACTGCACGCAAACCTGCCCAACACTGGCATAGACTTAACATCTGCTATTTTAAATTCTAGCATGTACATTTTACTTTTGTAATAAACCTTTAAAGTGATTTTTCCTACTACTTTTATGGCGGTGCCCGAGTAGCCAGACAACTTGGTATTTGTTTTTAGCAAATCTTTATCCGAGACCCCAATTTGTGGCAAATAATACAACGGCAATATATTAACATCTGCCCCAGTATCTAATTTAAAATTAATAGACTTATTATTAATCATTAGGTTTACATTCCACTCACTACTAGATTTTACAGTATGTATTACCTGCTCATCAGACTCCTCGACATTGAATACTCTAGCAACACAGGCTCTGGCAAAGTGATTCATTTTCGCACATCTTAGACACTGCTTGCCATACGCGGGACACTCAAACTTTTTATGTACACTGCCACAATGCCCACATTGCTTCACCCAAAGCGTCGAACCCGTGAAGGCACGCTCGCCTCGAGCGCGCAGCGGCGGGCGCTGGGCCGAGCGGGTCGCGCCGCCGCGTACGCCGCGTCCGCCAATGCGCGCGTCCGCGCTCACGCCACCTGCGCCGCCGCGATATCCTCTCCTTGAATCCCTCCTGTGCCGTACACTCCAAATATTCTCATCATTTTCGACCGCTTGATTATTGTTGTTGATTAAACATGCTGATAACTGCTCCTGTTTAATGTTATCCGCATAAACCCTCGATACTATCGCGACTCGACATATTTCTAATGCTTTACTTAAGGTTAGATCGTACTCCCTTAGTAGCCGTTCCCGAATAACTGAATTGGATACGCCACATATCAGCCTATCTTTTATAAGACCGTCATTTAAGGCCCCAAAATCGCATGTTTGAGCCAATTTCTGCAAATCAAAAACATATTGTTCTATGGTCTCATTTTCTCTCTGGTTCCTTGTAAAAAATCGGTGTCGTTCCACTGTAACATTAGGTTTTATATTAAAATGTCCGTCCAATATTTGTAAGACTGCTTCCGCGGTAGTGCATTTTAAAAGTGAATCTTTGTTTTGGTCTAGGATTTCTCGGCATTGTTCGCCAAGTACGTGCAATAATATATTAATTTGCACACTCGCCGCTTTGTTCGTTATTTCACATGCCTTTGTATAAATTTCATAGCTATTCCTCCATTTTGTCCAACTGGCACTTAAATTTGCGTAGTCTGAACTCCCGTCGAAACGAAATGGTTTTGGTGGACTTAAGACACCTTCCATAATTATTAAATATTATTAACTAAACACTATTTGAATTAACTTGTATTTAATATACTTAATAAACTTATTTACTTTTCCGACTGCGCCATGTCAACATGGGTACGCGGCAATCAAACACGAGATCGAGCTGAGACTGATTTATTCATATCCACCCGCAACTATTACAATAATCTCTCACAATTTGATGCTTTATTTTATTTTTTCACTATTCTGTGAGAGCGTGGTCCTACCCCGTCTGAGCAGACCCATTCATACTACAACTAAATATAATACAGCTGCAGTTTAGCTCTACCACGTAGAAAAATATGAAAACAATATAGTAAAAAATCATTTTTAAAATAATATAAAATAAGTAATATAATATGAGTATATTTAAAAGAAAATGCTTCTTACATTTTTATATAACAACATTTTTGATGAGAGATAATGCATGTTATTTAATTGTGAGGTATAAAACAAAACGTATGTGAAGTTACCACATATTACAAGAAAGTCATGACTGTTACAAACATCCTTACATATTTGCAGTAGGTTTGATTCAGAGAGCAAGAGGAGATTAAAGAATACATTTTTAAAATAAAAAGCATTTGTTTTTAAATTGTTGTCCATGTTAGGTATATTATATAATTAATAAATATATTATATACTATCACAACCAACAAACCTAGCTTTGTTTTCCTTTTAATGGCGATCTGCACAGCCGTGAAGTTCATAATAAGGTCCCCAAGCGAACTCATGTTACCCTACCTGTCCTTTATCGCACTTGAGACAAATTTACTTACATTGATAATATATGTGGGTGTCTACCGCTATTGTTTTATATTGTACATAACATCAAGCCGTGGTAACTCAGGGTGTAACCTATGTTCGCTCTACAGCGACGGTAACACTAAAATTGTTAATTCTTGTTGTAATTGCTGATTTACCAAGGACAAGTTATATCATACTTTGTTTTTTACTAACTTTTAACTTTGTACTTACGTAGTAGAGATAAAACACATAAAAGTAGTCTTTAATGCACCGTAACTCTTTAAGAATCGTATTGAGATATATATATACTAGATTTACCTAACTAGATTTATATAAGTAAAAAAAATATTTCATATAAACTTTTATGTAAAAAAGCAGACACCTAAGCAAAGAACCAATTTTATTTTTACTATAAGATTGTTTTATAATTTTAGGTCGACTTATACTCATAATTTTGTAAACTAGCAAAAAGCGGTGCTTTAGGAGGGCTCGTGAAGTAAGTTTTTATGAAGGTAGTTTTTTAGCTGGTGACCCTCGAGGTACCGCATGACTTGGAAGTTTATAACGGATTTCTTTATTCTGGAGAACAAGGAGGTGATGGCGATAGGCCTGTAGTTAGACTGGTCTGAAAGGTCACCTTTTTTAAGGATCGGGTGGACAAAAGCAGTCTTCCATGTTTTCGGGAATACGCCTAAGGAATAGGAGTACCGAAAAAGACGCGTTAGAATCGGTGCCAACTCCGGAGCACGCAACGTCCTCAGCACAATTAGGGGGATTCCGTCACGCCCACTCGACTTGTGAATGTCCAGGGAGATCTGGCATGGAGCACTCACACCACCGGATTGTCGGCGGTGTGTTCCCCCCCATCATAGAGTGTAGAGTTGGACGCAAAAAAAAAAGAGCCTAGTTGATTAGCTTTCTCCTTTGTGGCATGGGCCAGTGAGTCTTTCTCCCTATGCAGATATAGAAGAGATGGCTGACAGAAGTTCTCCTGGACAGCCTTTACGAGGGACCAGAATGCACGAGTTACCGAAGGAAGGCGAACTAGTTTCTTGCCGATTCTGCGTATGTGCTCTGACTTTGCCTTGGCAATGACCCTTTTGAAGGACCTGGAGGCGGAATCGTGCTTCTTTTTAAGGGCGCTGGTGTGGACATCACGGAGCATCGATACATCAGCCCAGGTCCGGTAGCACTCCTGCTTGTAGCGTGATGCATTTTTACAGGAGCGACTAAACCATGGCTGAGATATACTTCAGATGGTCACGACAGATAAAGTATGTTGCAAAACACGGCGGCAACCTGCGGAAACCAACCGCGATTTCAGCGTGAGTGACCACACTCCGCACTAGTCAATGGTCCAAGAAGCAAATAGAGGCATCAACGGAGACCCGATATCTGTCTGGATGAGAGGTCAGCAGAAGGTCCGACAGGGAAGGTGCATGATCCTCCACATCTGGAATCCGCGTAGGCATAGTAACTAGTTGTTTCAGACAAAATCATGAACAAATCTCCCCGCATAATCGGTTAAACGTGAAACGAGCCGTTCAACGTGGTGGACTTTAAAATTTACAAGGATTACGATCTCTGCAAATGGAACCTGTTGTAGCAAGGAATCTGTGTAAGTTAGCCTGTTGAAGCAAGGAATCGATGAGTCGGTCTGTTTCGGTATCACCGCTATGGGATCTACAGAGGCACCCGTAGATGCGCGGATGATCATCGCTGCCTACGCCTAGCCAAAGGATGGAAAAATCCGAACCTACAAGACTGCCGAGGCGTCGAGAACAGATGTCCTCTCGGACGTATACACAAACTCCAGCCCGAGACACAAACGAATACGATGTTGATTCTTAGCGGAGAGGACAACTGCGTCTCGATTAGAAATAGCAAGGCAGGCTTCGCCGATTAGGTTTGAGTGAAGTCCCCTGATGTTGTAAAAATTCATGGATAGCGTGGCAGGGGTCGCCTTGGTCTTGTTACTCAGTTTGACCCGAGCAGTAATGGGAAAAGGAATGCGGTCTTTCTTTGCATCCTACCCTTAGGGTTTGTTTTTCGCTGGATGATCCCAAAGTTATTTCTAATTCTATTGCTGAAGCGGTACTTCAGGGTATGAAACTTTTTATTCCTTTATCTGTCGTGACCATCTGAAGTAGATCTCAGCCATGGTTTAGTCGCTCCTGTAAAAATGCATCACGCTACAAGCAGGAGTGCTACCGGACCTGGACTAATGTATCGACGTTCCGTGATGTCCACACCAGCGCCCTTAAAAAGAAGCACGATTCCGCCTCCAGGTCCTTCAAAAGAGTAATTTCCAAGGCAAAGTCAGAGCACATACGCAGAATCGGCGAGAAACTAGTTCGCCTTCCTTCGGTAACTCGTGCATTCTGGTCCCTCGTAAAGGCTGTCCAGGAGAACTTCTGTCAGCCATCTCTTCTGTCTCTACATAGGGAGAAAGACTCACTGGCCCATGCCACAAAGGAGAAAGCTATTCAACTGGGCTCTTTTTTGCGTCCAACTCGACTCTCTATGATGGGGGAACACACCGCCGACAATCCGGTGGTGTGATTGCTCCATGCCAGATCTCCCTAGACATCCACAAGTCGAGTGGGCGTGACGGAATCCCCCTAATTGTGCTGAGGACGTTGCGTGCTCCGGAGTTGGTACCGATTCTAACGCGTCTTTTTCGGTACTCCTATTCCTTAGGCGTAGTCCCGAAAACATTGAAGACTGCTTTTGTCCACCCGATCCTTAAAAAAGGTGACCTTTCAGACCCGTCTAACTACAGGCCTATCGCCATCACCTCCTTGTTCTCCAGAATAATGAAATCCGTTATAAACTTCCAACTCATGCGGTACCTCGAGGATCACCAGCTAATTAGTGACCGCCAATACGGTTTTCGTCGGGGTCGATCAGTTGATGATCTTCTGGTCTACCTGACTCATAAATGGGCGGAGGCAGTAGATTCCAAGGGGGAAGCATTGGCCATTAGCTTGGACATTGCGAAGGCCTTCGATCGTATCTGGCACAAAGCGCTTCTTTCGCAGCTCCCTTCCTATGGGCTTCCCGAGAAATTGTGCAACTGGATTACCAGTTTTCTTGCAGATCGGAGCATCAAGGTCGTTGTAGACGGTGCATGCTCCGACTACAAGCCTATTAATGCCGGTGTTCCACAAGGCTGCGTGCTATCACCAACATTGTTTCTTCTGCATATCAATAATATGTTGTGAAGCGGAAACATTCTTTGCCATGCAGATGAAAGCACTGGTGTTGCTCTATACACCGGCCGTGCCAATATTTCTAGAAAAAACGTCGCCGAGTGCCGAAACAAACTTGTGTCTGAAGTCGAGTCTTTGCTGAACAAAGTCTCGGATTGGGGGCGACAAAATCTTGTCCAGTTTAATCCTCAGAAGACACAAGTTTGCGCGTTTACAGCTAAAAAGAAGCCCTTTGTCGTATCTCCTCAATTTCAAGGCACACCCTTTGTTACCTCAGCAAGTATCGGAATCCTCGGCGTTGACACATTGAGTGACGTGCAGTTTCGTGGTCACTTGGAAGAGAAGGCCAAATTGGCCTCTAAAAAGCTTGGCGTACTGAGCAGAGAGGGACAGTATTTTATGCCGGCACACCGCCTGCAACTTTGCAAGGTGTAGGTTCGGCCTCACATAAAATACTGTTTACATCTCTGGGCTAGGGCCAAATCCAGCGTAGAGCGGCTCGAATCGTCGACGACCGAATCCTCACCGATCGGCTCATTTCACTGGCGCTGAGTGAGTGCTTTGATGAATTGTTCGGATTAATTCCAGCCGCAAAATTTCACAAAAACAAATCGCGTCAAAACTCCCGATACCGTGTACGTTTCACTACGAATTTTCTTCCGCGTACTACCTCTCTGTAGAATAATTTACCACCGGTGATTTTTCCGAACCGACACGACTTAGGAACCTTCAAGAAAAGAGGTTACACTTTTTTAAAAGGCCGGCTACGCACCTGCAATTCCCTTGGTGTTGCGGTTGTTCATGGGCTCTCGTTTGACCCCTCTCCTATAAAAAAAATTAGGGCCTTTTCACGATCTTTTCCATCAATGTAGAGCATTTGATTAATCAGCAATGAACTGTAAGTATTAATTTCATTGGAGCAGACGAGAATCGAACGGGGTTGCTTGTGAACTGTTAAATTTACGGCGAGCGCTTCGGGCTTGGGCTATCTGATTTTCTATCCTCGCCATGTTTATCTCATTAATGGTCAAACTCAGG